CTTACTGCAGTGGCCTTTGTCTCTCATTATAATGCTGTAACAGGGGCGGATACAGCTTTTTGAGAAAGGGTGTGTGCACACTTCATTTTCACGAGAGTTTCAATGGTCATTTGATACATTTTCAGGAGAAAGAGGGGGTGGGGTGGGGTGGATGGCTGTTCTAGATATAAATCAAACCAAATCATGTATCAGTGTATGGTTACAGCCCTATCTGTTTGACTGTTCTAGATATAAATCAAACTGAATCATGTACCAGGGTATGGTTACAGCCCTATCTGTTTGACTGTTCTAGATATAAATCAAACCAAATCATGTACCAGTGTATGGTTACAGCCCTATCTGTATGTCTGTTCTAGATATAAATCAAACTAAATCATGTACCAGTGTATGGTTACAGCCCTATCTGTTTGACTGTTCTAGATAGAAATCAAACCAAATCATGTACCAGTGTATGGTTACAGCCCTATCTGTTTGACTGTTCTAGATATAAATCAAACCAAATCATGTACCAGGGTATGGTTACAGCCCTATCTGTTTGACTGTTCTAGATATAAATCAAACCAAATCATGTACCAGGGTATGGTTACAGCCCTATCTGTTTGACTGTTCTAGATATAAATCAAACCAAATCATGTACCAGGGTATGGTTACAGCCCTATCTGTTTGACTGTTCTAGATATAAATCAAACCAAATCATGTACCAGAGTATGGTTACAGCCCTATCTGTTTGACTGTTCTAGATATAAATCAAACCAAATCATGTACCAGTGTATGGTTACAGCCCTATCTGTATGTATGTTCTAGATATAAATCAAACCAAATCATGTATCAGTGTATGGTTACAGCCCTATCTGTTTGACTGTTCTACATAGAAACCAAACCAAATCATGTACCAGAGTATGGTTACAGCCCTATCTGTTTGACTGTTCTAGATATAAATCAAACCAAATCATGTACCAGGGTATGGTTACAGCCCTATCTGTTTGACTGTTCTAGATATAAATCAAACCAAATCATGTACCAGGGTATGGTTACAGCCCTATCTGTTTGACTGTTCTAGATATAAATCAAACCAAATCATGTACCAGGGTATGGTTACAGCCCTATCTGTTTGACTGTTCTAGATATAAATCAAACTAAATCATGTACCAGGGTATGGTTACAGCCCTATCTGTTTGACTGTTCTAGATATAAATCAAACCAAATCATGTACCAGTGTATGGTTACAGCCCTATCTGTTTGACTGTTCTACATAGAAACCAAACCAAATCATGTATCAGTGTATGGTTACAGCCCTATCTGTTTGACTGATCTAGATATAAATCAAACCAAATCATGTACCAGTGTATGGTTACAGCCCTATCTGTTTGACTGTTCTAGATATAAATCAAACCAAATCATGTATCAGTGTATGGTTACAGCCCTATCTGTTTGACTGTTGTAGATAGAAACCAAACCAAATAATGTATCAGTGTATGGTTACAGCCCTATCTGTTTGACTGATCTAGATATAAATCAAACCAAATCATGTACCAGTGTATGGTTACAGCCCTATCTGTTTGACTGTTCTAGATATAAATCAAACCAAATCATGTATCAGGGTATGTTTACAGCCCTATCTGTTTGACTGTTCTAGATATAAATCAAACTAAATCATGTACCAGGGTATGGTTACAGCCCTACCTGTTTGACTGTTCTAGATATAAATCAAACCAAATCATGTATCAGGGTATGGTTACAGCCCTATCTGTTTGACTGTTCTAGATAGAAACCAAACCAAATCATGTATCAGTGTATGGTTACAGCCCTATCTGTTTGACTGTTCTAGATATAAATCAAACCAAATCATGTATCAGTGTATGGTTACAGCCCTATCTGTTTGACTGTTCTAGATAGAAACCAAACCAAATCATGTATCAGAGTATGGTTACAGCCCTATCTGTTTGACTGATCTAGACAGAAACCAAACCAAATCATGTATCAGTGTATGATTACAGCCCTGTCTGTTTGGCTGTTCTAGATATAAACCAAACCAAATCTTGTCCCAGTGTATGATTACAGCCCTATCTGTTTGACTGTTCTAAATACAAAGTTTACCTGTATAGATGACAAAGTCTGGCTGAGGATCTAAAGCAGCGATGTGGCTTAAGACAGCTTCCACGGTCCTCATGGGAACGTCGCAGTTGTAGTCCCCGAACTTCCCCGCTGAACCCTGGAACGTTGACGTGAGTAACGACTTCATCAAAATACAACTTTCAAAATGGTGGCCTTTAATGTTGATATGACATGTCTAAGTAATAACACAAATTATCACATATATATGCATAAAGTAGAATTTCAGAAATTCCCTAATGATTCTCAGTCACTGAGAGAAACAAGGGTCAGCGCATTCCCGTGCAACATTCATATGCAAAATAGATATCTAAAAGCAAATAGCTTCGCTCTTATAATTCATGTAGATACAATTCAAATTGATTTGTATGTTCACAACTGTTTAAGCGAGGTTTATGACGCCCATCCTGATACTGAATGTTGGAAATTACATCGCACGTAAAGACAGACTACTTCCATATTCCTTGTAAAACTTCTGCCGCATGAACTGGAAAATATTTATCATCCCAAACTAACTTCCGCATGAGATATCGCTACGCTGATATTCCATCTGTCGGTAACATACCTCAAACCTTTATCGACGAGTGTCAACGTACTTGATAAAACCACATGGAAAAATGCATCGCAACACCATATTTCTCATAGCATCAATATGTTACCATTAACAAAAGCTAAGGAACGTATCCAAATCCCAGTTTTATCTTACTATCTGGATGAACTGAACCTCAAGGAATAATTACATGCAAATTTAAACGCAAAAAGAACGAAAAATGTAGTTTATTCATGGCAGCGGCGTGCTATGTTAAACACTGCACTATGTTTAGGTAGGGTTCTAGAGGCGTCCACTTTCTTCTAAAATATTACTGATTAATTACATCAAATATCGGTATGTACTGAAACATGCTACTCACTGTTCCGCTGAGCTCCCTCCGGCAGCATATGTTCATTCGGCACTCTGTCGGGGAACCCTGGCGGACATTAGGGTTTCAAAATATACTCGCACTACATCATTCATTTTCAGAATACAGTTACAAAAATGCTGAAATACACATGTGGCAGGTTTACGTGAGTTAATGTTGTTTTATGCCTTAATCGTCGCTACAGAATCCCACATTCATTGGTCGATACGTATAACTAGAATAGGATACCTTGGAACAGGGATGTATCAGGTCCGAGAGCAGGGTTTACAGAAATGTGGCGGAAATGTCAATAAATGTCTTTCCATTCAATTTTCTTCCTAAGAACTGGCGGAGTGATTCCCAGCGTGGTACTCACGTTTCCAATATGTGCACCTCATCATTTTAACATGCAGTGATATAAAGAGAAGCGACTAAACCACTTTCATATTTGTACGAAATGACTGCTGAAAGCAATATTATAGGGATATGGTTATGGGGCATTCTCCGTCATGACACAGCTGCTGAACGCATCCTGGCCCACTGGTGGCCCACGTCACAAACACATGCAAAGGTACGGCATCACATCACTTCTTACAGGTTAAAACATGTAGGTTTAAACATAGTGCGCTCTCGTCCTTAAATGTATTCTATTTCAATTTCACATTACAATTATTAATGTCTTTCCGTAAATTTGAGATCATGTCAAATTAAGAAGGTTATTAAAATAGATCGTGTTACTAAAATCGAAAGTAGAACACTCAATAGACCAACGTTTTCTATGTTACCTAATAATGAGGCCACCAACCAGGGCTCTTTTCACAAAGCGATCGTAGCGCTAAGACTGTCGTAAGTCTATGTTAAAGTACGGGAGTTACTATCACCTTAGCCGTACGATCGCTTTGTGAAATGGGACCCGGCACTGTCATTCGTAAGGATGACGTATGCGGGTTGTTAAGGTCACGTGGGTTCTCTTGGTTCTCCCAAGTCTGCCTGTATATCTGTTCCAACCTACCTCTGTATATAGCCGATCTAAGTGTATGTCTGCGATCTGCACAATCCGTATGGGATCAGACGAGCTTGAACCAGCGTCGTGTTGAGTGTGTGTCTTGATAGGTTCTTTGTTAAACTGGAACAATGACGTCTCTTGTCTGTCTAACGTCATGCGTTGTAACCGGTCTTGGCTCTCGGTCATTGGAATGTCTAAGGCGTCTTGGCTCTCCACGACTACGCTGTCTACGACATCTTGGCTGCCCATCACACTGTCTTCGACGTCTTGGCTAAACGTCAATAAACTGTCTATGACGTCTTGACTCTTCATCATTGCACTGTCTCTGGCGTCTTGGCTGTCCCTGACTGCACTGTTTACAACATCTCGGCTCGCAATCACTGGGCTGTCTACGACGTCTCGGTTCTCAATAACTGCGCTGTCTACGACGTCTTGGCTAACCGTCAATGAACTGTCTACGACGTCTCTGCTCTCAATCACGTCACTGTCTACGACATCTCGGCTCTCAATCACGTCGCTGTCTACGACGTCTTGGCTGACCATCACTGCATTGTCTACAACGTCTTGGCTCATCACCACTACACTGTCTACGAAGTCTTGCCTGTCCAACCACAGGCTTTGTTTGTGGTCTGATTTGGTAATAGACGATAGTGTTGGTTCACAGAAGTTAAGCTCTCTACATGTCCGTACAGGGTCTAGGAGAAGGTTTGCCGCCACGAACAGGACCTGAATATGGGAAATATGATAAAGATGACAAGTTTCAGGCATTCAGAATTTCAAGAACCGTTTGAAGAAAATCTTCAGTAGTGCCGTGCGTTAATATAGATTTACAAGAACTGTACTGGTAATGGGGCTTTGTGGTCAGGTGCCTTAGCTTCTCTGTCAAACAAGAGACATGTTTCGGTCTTGTATGGCAGTCAATGTATGGATCTCCATATGTATCATGTAATGATCATTACAGAGAAACACTACTGACAGCTTAAGGAAATTAAGGAACATCCAAATACATATGTACGTGAAAACATGCACCGTGTGAAAACTGCAAGATGTAACTAGGAATATCACTCATGCTCATACTTTTTTTCTCGATCATTGGATGTCAGTAAAATCTCAACTCCCTGGGGAGCATACAACAAGATGTGAGTGAGGAATATCAGTGAGTGAGGTGAGGTGAAAGTGAGGTTTGACGTCGTGCGGTGAGGTGAAATTGGGTTTAACGTCGTGCTTGAGGATATTTCGCTCATATGACGACGTGCATGTGTGTGTATGTGTATGTGCGGCTGCTTGTACTAGCCCAGACTTTTAAGCTGGTTTTATAGTGCTAGCCCACTGAGATACCATGCCGCAGTGAAGCATGAATACCCCACTCAGACACATTATACTGACTCTGAGCCGACCAGTCCTTGTTGTACCCATTAATGCCGAGCGCCAGGCAGGAACCAACAAGTACCATATTTTAACGTCTTTTGGTATGACGCGGTCGGGGATCGAACCCGCGACCTTCCGCTCTCCGGGCGAGTGAGTGAGTGAGTTAGTGAGTGAGTTTAGTATTACGCCGCTTTTAGCAATATTCCAGCAATATCACGGCGGGGGACACCAGAAATGGGCTTCACATATTGTGTCCATGTGAGGAATCGAACCCATGCCTTCGGCGTGACGAGCAGAACGCTTTAACCATTAGGGCTACCCCGCCGCCCCTCGTACAGTAGAATGTCTCAAGAATTACTGTGTAAACCACAAGATGTAAATGGGAAGTGTTAAGAAATATTCCGTTAAGAAATTGTTTGCATCGCCTTTGTTTAGTATTTCCTCTTGATTAGCATCATTATCATATTCCCGTATTTTGTCAGGTGAGAAACTAAGACAGGCCTTTGCATGTATTTATGACAGGTACCACTGGTGGGCAGGATACGCTCACCTTTTCCCCTGGTATCATCACTATTTGATAGTAATACATAAACACATGGTCATGGCATAGTCGGAACCTGTACAGTCGACTCTGCCTTAAGCAGAGATTCTTATTGATGTGGAAAGGGTTTTGTCGCTTATCCTTACAATTTCTTTAACAACCGACGACTGTAGATTTAGATTTTACGATTGTTTCGAAAAAGGCGGACTCTGCTTTTATAGTCTGTCTCACAGTCCCTGAACAACATTATTTTCCCTACTGCCTAGCCCTCTCTGCAGTGCTAAAGCCCTAAATAAAGCAAGTCTAGATTTAGTCTGAATCTCTGGTCTCCCTAGGGCTCCTTTTCAATATAAATGGGCTTGTTTGTTACTATCCAAATTATATATATTCAGAGACTAAGCCTTAGTCTACTGCTTTTACTGAATTTGTGTCACTCTGCGCAAACTCACAAGAGATTATGAAACATGACTGAATCTATTTCAGAACACATACATACAAGTAAAACATATCAATCATTGTCCCAAACTGAGCAAAGTCGTACAAGGCTGTTCTGCTAAAGCGGTGTTCAGACATTTCAAGGAGCAAACAATCAGATTAATCTTACACATACCTACGGATTGCCCACAATTACTCTGGGTAATTTCTACATAGAACTACACATTATTGGACAATGAATAGTCAGAGAAACAAGTCAAGTTTTATAGCCTGACTTTTTAATTTGAGATAATATATTTACACATTTGAAACCTGGGGTTACAATACTCGCTTTCAAATTAAAATAAGAGGTTTCAAATTAACCATTATTCAACCTCAAATTTAAAAAACAAGCAGGTTCTCCTAATGCGATGGTGCAAAGGTAGAACTGAAATATGTATGCTGAGAAGACTTACAAACAAAGCAGGTATGTCTGTTCACCCAGCAGAAAATGGGTACCCGGTGGGATAGGTCATGTGACTAAAACCTTTAGCGCCTAACAGGCATCTTGGATTATTCGGGGTAATAATGTGCTGTGCTATTCATTGTTAGCGCTATGAGCATACCTGGTGTGGAGTTTAGTGCTATATATAGAGGATATTATATGAGTGCCCATGTCATACTATGTTTACGACTCGAGTGCCTAAATGTTGGTAATACCGGTTTTGTAGGCACGAGTGTCGTAAACATAGTATGATATGGGCACGAATATAATATTCTGTTTATTACCGAAGTCGTCAAATTGAGGAAAATAACCCAAATCTACTTTCAAACATAGGCTGTCTACCCGCCGTCGCCATATGTAGAACGCAACGTCACAGAAGAAACGTGACGTCATAGCATTGTTCATGACGTCACGTCACCATGACAAAGTGATATTTTGCCCTAGGGCATCGAATGAAAAATATGAACCCCGATATGTTCGCCCTCGTAGGTAATAAAAATGAATACATTATTATTATTAAATGGAGGTATGTCTTACCACTGGGCCGTAGGCGTCGATCAAGCCCGGGCACATGACGTCACCACGATAGTTCAGGAATGTGTTGATGTACTTGCAGATGCAGATCGCATCCTTCTTGAAGTAGTCCAGAGTCTCGTTCGAGGCAATAGTCGTGATGGCCAGGTTGACTATGTACTGTGAATACAGACGTGGAGACAATACAGTGGACCCCCGCTTATCCGGACGTCTGATATCCGAAAACCTCGCATACCGGACGATATTTACGTGAAACGAGCGAGTGAGTGAGTTGGTGAGTTTAGTTTTACACCGCACACAGCAATATTCCAGCTATATGTCGGCGGTCTGTAAATAATCGGGTCTGGACCAGACAATCCAGTGATCAACAGCATGAGCATCGATCTACGCAATTGGGAACCGATGACATGTGTCAACCAAGTCAGCGAGCCTGACCACCCGATCCCGTTAGTCGCCTCTTGCGACAAGCATGGGTTACTGAAGATCAATTCTAACTCGGATCTTCACGGGTCTTATGTGAAACGAAATATATATTACATAAAGTGCTTCGTTTAGCCGCAAATCCGGGCAGTGCATTTCAAACACCATCAGTGGCAAATACACATTACCGAGTCCCAACTACCACGGAACAACCACTCTTGACCTGTTTTGTTTTGAATTCATCATCCCACATGCCACATCAAGGTGTCCTCCCATTACGCAGACAGCCAGTTCGCAGACACCTTAAAACAACAACATTTACGGTTCAGTGAACAGATTATCTACTACCTGTTACCTACACATTATAATGGAATAGTCCAAATAAAAACACAGGAACAAACTGAAGCTATGCTATTTATTTGAAAGATGGATGAAAAGACATAAACATTTCTAGTCTAACGGGAGTTGGCATCATCATATTGAAAACATTAGCTTATCTATTAGAAATTGCGACACTGTTGTATCATATAAATCAAATAAAGACAAATGTGAACCTAAATATTATTCATATGGAATAAAGAAGTTATATGTTTTGCACACAATATTAAGATATATGACGAGTGCACTTAATTACGATTTATTTAGAATACATATTTAAAAATATGACGCATCATGTCAATGTGGCCATGGATGTGAGAATGTTTTTCATTACTTCCTTGAATGTCCATTGTATACTACTCAAAGACATAAACTGTTACAATCTTTAGAAAGTATTGTTAAAATTAGAACACTGATTGGTATTAATCGTATCTTACATGGCAATGCAGGTGTCTCATTTACTGCAAATCAGAATGTTTTCAAATATGTACATATCTATATCTCTCCAACAAAACGTTTTCTCAATTAACTTCTGTTGTACATATGCTATTATTGGGAGGGGGCTTTTCTATCAATAAACGCAATCAAACCTCTAAGTGACAAACCTGTTTTATATTCGATAGTAATTGAAAGTAAAATCAATTTTGAGAAGAGATATCATTTATCATTTAATCACAACAAAGTTCTATTTACCCACAATCAAACTTCTCAGTAACAAGCCTGCTTCAGGCTCACCCTGCTCTACTCACTGGACAGTGGACTGTTCCATTATACCCGTAGGTGTTACCCTCATTAACCTTCTAGTTCAGTGTCTGCCAATTGGGTGTCTGTCAAATGGGTCTCCCGCACACACACACACAAACACACACACACCCTAAGCCATAAATTAAGAACGGTCCCTTATCACGGTGTCAATAAACATACAACGTACAATACTTGTCAAAACAAAACGGTGATAACAGCAGGCTTTATTGGCTTGTGTCATGTTAGTGTAGCACATGTGCTTCGCACAAGTTTTATTTGTGTGAGTTTCTGTGTGTGTCAGTGTTTGTGTGTTTGCGTGTGTTTTATACACAGTAACCCATGCTTGTCGTAAGAGGCGACTAACGGGATCCGGTGGTCAGGCTCGCTGACTTGGTTGTCATCGGTTCCCAGTTGCGTAGATCGATGCTCATGCTGTTGATCAATGGATTGTCTGGTCCAGACTCGATTATTGCGGCGTAAAACTAAACTCACTCACTGTTTCATCTAGACACAATTATCTATAATTTCAGAATTTCAAAGTGCTAAGTTTGTCAAATATTGATTAATCATCTGCGTCTAAGGGCCGGTGTGTTCAGGGCTTATTGGTCACAGACGTTACCAAGAGTAACCTGGGTCGAGTCCCTGCGTATTTTGTAGCTCATGTTAGAGGTATGGGGCAATGAGTACGCTCCTGTTCAATGACTCCCAAAGATAGAACACGGAAACGATTTATATCCTCACAGCGGATATTCCTCTCACGACTAAGCATAAATATGATGAAACTGCAACATGAAAAACGTGATATATATATAATATCACAGGGGACTTCGACCCTACTGCGACACTATACGTTCAACAACGTCGCTGAGCAGTGACCGGAAAGATGATTCAGAGAAAGAGACTGTCTCCTTCTAAACTCCCCGTCCAACTCAAAGTGTACATGGTACTAACATAAAACACGTTTTTCAAAGTGTAATTTAATTTTAGTTCAAAAGCTTGTAAACCATCAAATACATATAATAGACCTTAAGTCACAGGGTCGTAAATATCATACAACACATTGTCTCATGACAGAGACATACATGGACCACTGTAATTTTTCCGGCTGTAACAAAGATAACATGCTGTATCGCGACCACACGTGGCCTCGTTCTCTAAGTCGCAAATCGCCGCCGTGCAGGGTTGAATATAGACTTGCACAAGTCTCTAAGGTAATAATTAATCAATAAAATGAAATTTTAAAAAATAATAAAGACTGCTGTGTACTGTCAGCTTATCTAGACTTGCCTCTGTAAAGGATATAGTTACTATACATCCATGCTCTTACCATTCAGTAGAGCCTTGGAGCAAGGCTAGGTTGAGTACATAGGCGAGCCTAGAACCAGGGGTGGTGTCTGTTACGCCTTACCTGTGACAAAACCTCCCCCACCCCAACCCCCGTAACCCGAAGAAAACCAATCGTACAGAATGTCCAAGCTGGACAGGGATACCTTTCAAGTGCTGGAGTCTGTTCGCAATTATATTAACCTGACTATAGATCTAAAGATACTTGTCCGGTACATAAACTCTTCGCAATGTTTGCTTGACATTTCAAAATTCAGTGTGAAATTTGAATGACCTTTTCCTAGAGCACCAAAATGAAACGTGTTATGTTTCGGCCACTTTCTGAGTATTCTCATAATCATAATCATTATCAATCCGAAAAATACGACCTGTTGATACATTTTAGAATACAAGGGATGAGCTTCAACACGTGCTCGGTGTTGCTAATGTGTTAAACGTCTAATACCTGCGTTACTTCGGGTTCTCCACCCACATCAACACGTCGCCATATTACTGACATACTTTCTCAAAGCTAAAACCCACTCCCGTGATTATTGTCATACGAGATAAGATGTAACAGAACAATTGAAACTCACATATCGTTAAGTTCCCCAAACTACAACTTGGTTAGCTCGACCTTAAAATCTGTTTAAAATTGATTTCATTTGGCTGGCGTGGTATAGTTTTTAGTGTCTGTGTTTATTAGAAATTGTCATGGTTTCCTATGCAGATGAGTGAGTGAGTTTAAGATTTATGCCGCTTTTAGCAATGTTCACGCAATATCACCGGGAATGGGCTTCACACATCGTACCCACGTGGGGAATAGAACCCGGGTATTCGGCGTGACGAGCGAACGCTTAAACCACTAGACTACCCCACCGCCACCTGCGCAGTTGACTTTCCTGAGGAAGTGTAAGTCACAGGAGTAATCAATTAAGGCATAAATCATTTAATTGTGGCATGAGTCGTTTCCTTGGTTAATCCTGTACAGGTAAAGTGTGAGTATATTGTGAGATAGTTGGCAAGGCAACAAATCTTAAATACATTATGTTATTTGTTTTAGGTGGGAGCAAGGGTGATCCCGTACACACAGCTCAATCACTCACTCAGTCATGACAGCCTACTTTGTATCTATTATTAAAACGAATCACCCGCTAACTCACTAATGAAGATCCCAGTCACAGCAACCAATACTTGTAAGAGGCGGCTCACTCACTCACTCACTCTCTCCCTCACTGATACCGGGTGCTACACATATTGTGGGGACAGCTCACTCACTCACTGATATCAGACCCAGCATTGTATTCCGTACAAAACACATATTGTGGGGACAGTTAGCTTACTCTCTCACTCACTGATAACAGACCCTGCCTTGTATTCCGTACAAAACACATATTGTGGGGACAGCTCACTCTCTCACTCACTGATAACAGACCCTGCCTTGTATTCCGTACAAAACACATATTGTGGGGACAGCTCACTCACTCACTCACTCACTCACTGATAACAGACCCTACCTTGTATTCCGTACAAAACACATATTGTGGGGACAGCTTACTCACTCACTCACTCACTCACTGATAACAGACCCTACCTTGTATTCCGTACAAAACACATATTGTGGGGACAGCTTACAGCACTCACTCATTCACTCACTGATAACAGACCCTACCTTGTATTCCGTACAAAACACATATTGTGGGGACAGCTCACTCACTCACTCACTCACTGATAACAGACCCTGCCTTGTATTCCGTACAAAACACATATTGTGGGGACAGCTTACTCACTCACTCACTGATAACATCCCTACCTTGTATTCCGTACAAAACACATATTGTGGGGACAGTTAACGTTCACTCTCTCACTCACTGATAACAGACCCTGCCTTGTATTCCGTACAAAACACATATTGTGGGGACAGCTTACTCACTCACTCACTGATAACATCCCCTACCTTGTATTCCGTACAAAACACATATTGTGGGGACAGTTAACGTTCACTCTCTCACTCACTGATAACAGACCCTGCCTTGTATTCCGTACAAAACACATATTGTAGGGACAGTTAACGTTCACTCACTCACTCACTGATAACAGACCCTGCCTTGTATTCCGTACAAAACACATATTGTGGGGACAGCTCACTCTACTCACTCACTGATAACAGACCCTACCTTGTATTCCGTACAAAACACATATTGTGGGGACAGCTCACTCACTCACTCACTCACTCACTGATAACAGACCCTGCCTTGTATTCCGTACAAAACACATATTGTGGGGACAGTTAACGTTCACTCTCTCACTCACTGATAACAGACCCTGCCTTGTATTCCGTACAAAACACATATTGTGGGGACAGCTCACCCTGCTCACTCACATATCACTGATAACAGCCCTCACTACCTTGTATTCCTTGTACAAAACACATATTGTGGGGACAGCTCACTCACTCACTCACACTCACTGATAACAGACCCTGGCTTGTATTCCGTACAAAACACATATTGTGGGGACAGCTCACTCACTCACTCACTCACTGATAACAGACCCTACCTTGTATTCCGTACAAAACACATATTGTGGGGACAGCTCACTCACTCACTCACTCACTGATAACAGACCCTGCCTTGTATTCCGTACAAAACACATATTGTGGGGACAGTTAACGTTCACTCTCTCACTCACTGATAACAGACCCTGCCTTGTATTCCGTACAAAACACACATATTGTAACAGGGGACAGCTTCACTCACTCACTCACTCACTCACTCACTCACTCACTGATAACAGACCCTGCCTTGTATTCCGTACAAAACACATATTGTGGGGACAGCTCACTCACTCTCACTCACTGATAACAGACCCTACCTTGTATTCCGTACAAAACACATATTGTGGGGACAGCTCACTCACTCACTCACTGATAACAGACCCTACCTTGTATTCCGTACAAAACACATATTGTGGGGACAGCTCACTCACTCACTCACTGATAACAGACCCTGCCTTGTATTCCGTACAAAACACATATTGTGGGGACAGTTAACGTTCACTCTCTCACTCACTGATAACAGACCCTGCCTTGTATTCCGTACAAAACACATATTGTTGTGGGGCAGCTCACTCCTCACTCACTCACTCACTACAAAACACATATTGTCACTCACTGATAACAGACCCTACCTTGTATTCCGTACAAAACACATATTGTGGGGACAGCTCACTCCACTCTCACTCACTGATAACAGACCCAGCCTTGTATTCCGTACAAAACACATATTGTGGGGACAGCTCACTCACTCACTCACTGATAACAGACCCTGCCTTGTATTCCGTACAAAACACATATTGTGGGGGCAGCTCACTCACTCACTCACTGATAACAGACCCTGCCTCCCTACCTTGTATTCCGTACAAAACACATATTGTGGGACAGTATTCCGTACACTATTGTGGGGACAGCTCACTCACTGATAACAGACCCTGCCTTGTATTCCGTACAAAACACATATTGTGGGGACAGCTCACTCACTCACTCACTGATAACAGACCCTGCCTTGTATTCCGTACAAAACACATATTGTGGGGACAGTTAACGTTCACTCTCTCACTCACTGATAACAGACCCTGCCTTGTATTCCGTACAAAACACATATTGTGGGGACAGCTTACTCACTCTCTCACTCACTGATAACAGACCCTACCTTGTATTCCGTACAAAACATATTGTGGGGACAGCTAACGTTCACTCACTCACTCACCGTACAAAACACTGATAACAGACCCTGCCTTGTATTCCGTACAAAACACATATTGTGGGGACAGCTTACTCACTCACTCACTGATAACAGACCCTACCTTGTATTCCGTACAAAACACATATTGTGGGGACAGCTCACTCACTCACTCACTCACTCACTGATAACAGACCCTGCCTTGTATTCCGTACAAAACACATATTGTGGGGACAGCTCACTCACTCACTCACTGATAACAGACCCTGCCTTGTATTCCGTACAAAACACATATTGTGGGGACAGCTCACTCACTCACTCACTCACTCACTCACTGATAACAGCCCCTACCTTGTATTCCGTACAAAACACATATTGTGGGGACAGCTCACTTCACTCACTCACTCACTGATAACAGACCCTGCCTTGTATTCCGTACAAAACACATATTGTGGGGACAGCTCACTCACTCACTCACTCACTGATAACAGACCCTGCCTTGTATTCCGTACAAAACACATATTGTGGGGACAGCTCACTCTCTCACTCACTGATAACAGACCCTACCTTGTATTCCGTACAAAACACATATTGTGGGGACAGCTCACTCACTCACTCACTGATAACAGACCCTGCCTTGTATTCCGTACAAAACACATATTGTGGGGACAGCTCACTCACTCACTCACTCACTGATAACAGACCCTGCCTTGTATTCCGTACAAAACACATATTGTGGGGACAGCTTACAGCTCACTCACTCACTCACTGATAACAGACCCTACCTTGTATTCCGTACAAAACACATATTGTGGGGACAGTTAACGTTCACTCTCTCACTCACTGATAACAGACCCTGCCTTGTATTCCGTACAAAACACATATTGTGGGGACAGCTTACTCACTCACTCACTCACTGATAACAGCCCCTACCTTGTATTCCGTACAAAACACATATTGTGGGGACAGTTAACTCACTCACTCTCTCACTCACTGATAACAGACCCTACCTTGTATTCCGTACAAAACACATATTGTGGGGACAGCTTACTCACTCACTCACTCACTGATAACAGACCCTGCCTTGTATTCCGTACAAAACACATATTGTGGGGACAGCTCACTCACTCTCACTCACTGATAACAGACCCTGCCTTGTATTCCGTACAAAACACATATTGTGGGGACAGCTCACTCACTCACTCACTCAATCATTGATAACAGCCCCTACCTTGTATTCCGTACAAAACACATATTGTGGGGACAGTTCACTCTCTCTCTCTCACTGATAACAGACCCTACCTTGTATTCCGTACAAAACACATATTGTGGGGACAGCTCACTCACTCACTCACTGATAACAGACCCTACCTTGTATTCCGTACAAAACACATATTGTGGGGACAGCTCACTCTCTCACTCACTGATAACAGACCCTGCCTTGTATTCCGTACAAAACACATATTGTGGGGACAGCTCACTCACTCACTCACTCACTGATAACAGACCCTACCTTGTATTCCGTACAAAACACATATTGTGGGGACAGTTAACGTTCACTCTCTCACTCACTGATAACAGACCCTGCCTTGTATTCCGTACAAAACACATATTGTGGGGACAGCTTACTCACTCACTCACTGATAACAGACCCTGCCTTGTATTCCGTACAAAACACATATTGTGGGGACAGCTCACTCACTCACTCACTCACTCACTCACTGATAACAGACCCTATCTTGTATTCCGTACAAAACACATATTGTGGGGACAGCTCACTCACTCACTCACTCACTGATAACAGACCCTACCTTGTATTCCGTACAAAACACATATTGTGGGAGGACAGCTCACTCACTCACTCACTCACTGATAACAGACCCTGCCTTGTATTCCGTACAAAACACATATTGTGGGGACAGCTCACTCACTCACTCACTGATAACAGACCCTTCCTTGTATTCCGTACAAAACACATATTGTGGGAGCAGCTCACTCACTCACTGATAACAGACCCTGCCTTGTATTCCGTACAAAACACATATTGTGGGAGCAGCTCACTCACTCACTGATAACAGACCCTGCCTTGTATTCCTTACAAAACACATATTGTTGGGGCAGCTCACTCAGTAACTCCCTCAACTTACCTTGCATTCTTCACAGAACATATACTGGGGGAATAGCTCAGTCAACCTCGACGTCCTCTCCCTTAAAGGCTGATCATGTTTGTTGACAGGAAGACTCACGACAACGTGTGCGAGGACGACCAGCAACACGAGCGTCTTCACCACGTCCATCGTGGTCCAGGCGTCGTGTGAACTGCGGTGTCAAGAGGTTTTCTTCCTCATCTGAAATAACGTGAAATACGAAACTAAAACTAGCTTGATATCGCTCAATAACGGGTTTCCGGACAATCTAACTATACGCTTCATATATCTGTCACAATTAGGGCTGGTACCAGTTGCTCGTGGGTGTCAACAATTACCTTTTATACATATTGCAATAACCAATGGTTTCTACAACACGTCGGATTCTCATATGGTAATTATAATATCAATCTGCCAAGAATGATAGCATTTTTCTGCACATACAATAACGAAACACGCACCAGATGGTATATATTTTCAGCCCCACTCAGTAATAAAGAGAGTAACGGGATTTTTCAGTACAGTCACCAATCAGAGAGATAGGTCGAGAAGCGTGACTAGGTTTTGTGTCCCGCCGGAATCTATCTGAATGTACACACTGATTCTCACTCAACATTCACAGTTACTCTGATTGTAAGTGCAAAAATATTGAACACCTTCACAAAATTTAGTTTGGAAATACAGATACATTGGGTATTCTGTGTTAATTTAGAATTAACTCCCGTGATTATCGTAATACGATATAAGATGTAACAGAACAAATGAAACTCACACATCGTTATGATAGGGAGTCAGGCACCAAATCGCAGTCCGCAGTCTAGACTACAAGTTATCCTACGTACATTTTGTGGAAGTTGCGGTGGCGGTGTAATACTTGCAGCAAATTGTCATAAACTTGACGTAAATTGTAATAAAAACGTAAATTGTAATAAAAAATGGCGTTTTTATTACAATTTACGTCGTAACAGTCAGACTTTGTGTGCTGGCGATTTGGTGCCTGACTTTGAGGGTGTGGGTTCGAATCCCGGATGGGACACAATCCAAAATGTACGAGAATTTGTACTTTACTAAGAAAGTGTAATCCCAAATATAACATATGGTGCATTTGACCACTTTCTAAAATGGCATTGTGTAATCATATTAATTATTGCCTTAGAGACTTGTGCAAGTCTAAACAGGATGTGACAGATCTAAGCCCTGGTTCAGATGTCAGTGTAAGATCAGAAAAAAAGGACTTTTAACAAACACAAAAGTTTACATAACAAAAAAGGATCTTGTAAACAGTAGCAGAAGTTAGGAAATGTTTTTGCAAATTTGATAATAGACACCGTTATAAAATGCAAAATAATATTTACATATCACTGACACACGCTCATTTTGGAAAAGTTTGACCCTAATTTGACCCCAATTAATACTTTTTTTATTATTTCAAAAACTTCAATGCAGAAAAAAATCATATCCCCGATAATTCCTTTGATCGTGACCACACGATCCCGTTAGTCACCTCTTACGTCAAGCATATGTTACTGGCTGACTGACTGAGTTTGGTTTTACGCCGCTTTTAGCAATATTCCGGCTACATCACGCCGGGGGAAAACCAGAAATGGGCTTCACACATTGTACCCATGTGGGGATTCGAACACGGGTCTTCGGCGTGACGAGCCAACGCTTTAACCACTAGGCTACCCCAACGCCCCCATAGGTTACTGAATTCTAACCCGGATCATCACGGGTCTCTTCAGGTGGAATTTTGTGCCACCTACCTACTTCTATAGGTAAATGATGGCAGGAAGGTCTAAACAAGAGGAATTTAAAAGCCAAGGGAAACAGATATATGTCAAATATTTTTCAAGGACAAGTTCATTTTTGAATACGCGATAAGTGGTACCATAGGAAGAATTCGAAATCTCTAGACGTCGTGCATGTTTTAGTTGCTGCATCATTTAACCTTAGGGAGATAATAGATTTAATTTCATTGGGAAAGGCAGTTTGTTGACATAGCCAGTAAAGGTTATGGCCAATTTCATTAATAACGGTTCCCGCAGATTTTATCCATTTTTGATTGTATTAACACGGAAAAACTGGACAAAGTTTTACCAGTATTTGATGACATTATGAAAACATGAAATATTACAGACTACCGGACCACGTTCCTCAATCTTAAACCAAGAATCACATTGATAACGAACATCGGACATAATCCGGGACCAGTATGTCTTAAGCTAACAGAGCCAAGGTGCAATACATGTATCTCCGTCTTTACGGCTGTTTGTATTCCACGTTGGTCAAATCACGCGCATGCCACATATACGTTCATGACATACTCGCGACTGGTCATCCTTTGTCCACATTTATCATCGATGCTTCGGTCAAACTAAATCTCAAGTTCACAATAACAACGTTATCGTAAGTTTATCTGTGAACGCGATTATTTGCAAAAACGGACAACAGTCACAAATCATTGGGTGGCTGTCTAGTAAATTCACTCAGGTAAGAAACACTACTTTCTTCTACCTTAAGCTTGTTAAAATGTTTATGCTGTTTTGTCTTATGTTTAATCTATTGTACCTTAACTATATATTGCAACCCTTGCCACTACCTTCAGGCTGATGTGACCGCCTCCGTGGTGTAGTGGTTAGAGCGTCTGCCCGGAGAGCGGAAGGTCGCGGGTTCGATCCCCGACCGTGTCATACCAAAAGACGTTAAAATATGGTACTTGTTGGTCCCTGCCTGGCGCTCGGCATTAATGGGTACAACAAGGACTGGTCGGCTCAGAGTCAGTATAATGTGTCTGAGTGGGGTATCATGCTTCACTGCGGCATGGTATCTCAGTGGGCTAGCACTATCAAAACCAGCTTCATTCTGGGCTAGTACAAGCAGCCGCACATACCCATACACACGCATGCACGTCGTCATATGAGCGAAATATTCTCAAGCACGACGTTAAACCCAATTTCACCTCACCTTACCTCAGGCTGATGTGGAACGTGGCATCCTTTGATATACATGTACATGTATTTCTCATATACTCTGTATTACTGTTTAAGATTGTTTTTTGTGACTATCATAGAATGTATAGAGTGTGTCGGGGACCCTAACTATTGCATTACGTTGTGAACACTGTGCTGTTTTGTGACTGTTATCGAATGTAGATTGTATGAACGCCCACTGCAGTGATGTGTAGAGTATTGAACATTTGCATTACGTTGTATACTTTGGAATGTGTATCGTGATTAATGTAGTATGTGTAACGAATCTACATGTGATGTTTGTGTACTTTGATACCTGATTGTATTGTGAACATGTTCTAATAATTAATTGTAAACTTTTCTACTATTGACTGATTATGTAAATGATGACGAAGTGGCTGTGTAATAAACTCCTCGTTCTATTCGTTTATTACATTTACCTGTACAGAGTGGACATTTGTAATAATATGGTTTGATATATACTCATGCCAATAATGGTTGTCACCCCTTCAATTTTTAATTTGAGAGGGTGTGTGGGGTGGACATTTGTGGGTGGGGTGGGGTTATGGTGGGAGGGGTGACAACCATTATTGGCCATGAGTATACATTATTCTATAATTTGATATGATGGACATTTTAATGTAAAATGCAATTCATCTTCAATATCATCTTTACACATTAAACATTTACGATTAGCATGACTTAGGCTTCGGTATCTGCCAGTTTCTACCGCACAGTTACGGGGGCTGGGTCGGAATTTTGATATCATCTTTACACATTAAACATTTACGATTAGCATGACTTAGGCTTCGGTATCTGCCAGTTTCTACCGCACAGTTATGGGGGCTGGGTCGGAATTTTGATATCATCTTTACACATTAAACATTTACGATTAGCATGACTTAGGCTTCGGTATCTGCCAGTTTCTACCGCACAGTTATGGGGGCTGGGTCGGAAGTTGGATAAATACTTCCTATAGAGATATGGAATCGATTTACGTAAATAATATTAAAGCGAACATTGATTGATAACATTTTATAAATTACACATTCCGACGAGTTGGACAACTGACTGAAAATAAAGTGTATATACTGATCATTAATTCTTTGTTTAGAAACTGATAATTAATCTACAGGTAATTCCTGCCTTAACCATATTTCACTGAAACCAATGCTTGACAAAATATATTTTACCTGATACGTCTAATTCTTAACACCACCTCCTCATACAAATATTCATAACAACACCGTAAAATAATACTATCAGACTCAAGAAGCTTACACCAATATTTAATCACATTATATTGCCTCTTAAATAAAGGGGGCGGTGGAGTAGCCTAGTGGTTAAAGCGTTGGCTCGTCACGCCGAAGACCCGGGTTCGATTCCACACATGGGCACAATGTGTTAAGCCCATTTCTGGTGTCCCCCGCCGGGATATTGCTGGAATATTGCTAAAAGCGGCGTAAAACTAAACTCAGTCAGTCTGTCTTGAATAAAAGCGGATTACGACCTAACTCTCCGTAAACCATCGAATTACATGTTGATTTCTTATCCCCTAACAACCTTTTACAAAAAAATTCCAGATGTAACCTTTCCATATTCAATCCCTTATTATACTCAAATATCTCCGACGTATAAGATAATATACTGCCGATATAACAACCATTATCCAGCCTCGTGTAAGAATGTCGAGTTTTGATTGGTTCACGTGACTCTGATAAAATACCAGGATTGAGAGAGAGCTACCCGATATTATTGTATATATGGAAACTGACTCTGTGCCTTTGAAAAATGGTTATTACAATTAAAAACTATTCCTAAATCAGTAAACATATCAACAACCTTTGGGACACTGTCATTACAACACCATTGCTCTGGGGAATTAACTTTATACCACCTCTTCTAAAAAAACTTTATTTGAACACACACGTGAATGAATACCATCGCACATGTTAACAATAATTGGAATTAGCCTGCCATCAATATCTTATGCTAATAACGTTTTCATAAACCTATGCTCCAAACATTGTTGAAAGCTTTCTGAAAATAAATAAAATCACAATACAATTGTTTGTTTCTGTTTTTAAGTAGGTCAATAATAGCATAAGGGCTAAAACTAAGGTCGTTAGTGGAGTAGCCGTGTCTAAAACCTGCATGTGATTCTGATAAATTATTTTTACTTTCAACATAATTTTAACCTTTTATTGAGAACTGAGGTAAATAATTTACCAAGGCAACTTATGATACTTATGGGCCGGAAATTTCCAGGGTCCTCTGTACTTCCTTTACCGTTATAAATAGGACGGATAACGTTCAACCATTGTTCGGGAAAACCACAGAGACAATTTTTTATTCATAGTTTAACATACAAAAAAGTCATTTTTGTCTGATCTTACACTGACGTCTGTACCAGGGCTTAGATCTGTGACATCCTGGTTAGACTTGCACAAGTCTCTAAGGTAATAATTAATAGTTTAAATGATAATTTCTAAAAAATATAAATATGCCTCTAACAGACTGGCATTTAGACATGCCTGTTTAAAGGATTGGACGGTAAGATAGCCTAGTGGTTAAAGCGTTCGCTTGTCACGCCGAATACCCGGGTTCGATTCCCCATATGGGTACAATGTGTGAAGCCAATGTCTAGTGTCCACAGCCGAGATATTGCTGGAACATTGCTAAAAGCGGCGTAAAACCATATTCATTCACTCACTCATCCATGGGCTTAGCGTTCTGTACAGCCTTGGAGCAGTCTTTGTTTAACGGGTCCGACAGTAACGTATAACTAGGCCACATGTACATACAAACATTAGATATATACTTGTGGGTTTTATACAATGTTCATATTCTCACCTTGTCGGCCTAAATGCTGTTTTATAGCGGGAGTCACCTTAAATTAGTTGTATTACTGCTTGACCATCGGATCTGGTGGAGTATAGTCTGGTGTCCTGTTTAACACGGACATGCCCGCGACTTGCCGGGGTAGATCCCGTTACTCACTGCTGGTAGACCCCGTTTCTCACTGCTTGTAGACCCAGTTTCTCGCTGACGTACAAGTTGTATGCATGGTAAAGACACCATTCACATGAGGACTATCGTATATATCTGTACCTTTGGTTAAGTGAGGTGAGGTGAGGTGAAATTGGGTTTACCGTCGTGCTTGAGAATATTTCGCTCATATGACGACGTGCATGCGTGTGTATGTGTATGTGCGGCTGCTTGTACTAGCCCAGACTGTGCAGTGAAGCATAAATACCCCACTCTGACACATTATACTGACTCCGAGCCGACCAGTCATTGATGTACCCATTAATGCCGAGCGCCAGACAGGGACCAACAAGTACCACTTAGATGTGGTACGTGATCGGATATTATTTTAGGACATAACGAACTATGGTTCTCTCGAAGTCGAATATTGCTAACAATCTTCTGTAGGCTAACGAACCAAACCATAATACCTTAGATGTGGTACATGTTCGGATATTAGTTTAAGATTTAACGAACTCCGGTTCTCTCGAAGTCGAATATAGTTAACGATCTTCTGTAACGAATCAAATGGTGGTAGAAGTAACGGATTGTATTATTTACAGAAGAAAAGAAAACCCTAGCTTTCATTGTCAAATATAGGTAAGGTGTGGTGGATGATACTGGTGATAATATTTCTCTCGAAGTCGAATATAGGTAACACTCTTCTACAACGAACCAAAGGGTGGTAGATATAGTAACGGGTTTTATTACCTACGGGGATGAAAATATCGGGGTTCATAATTTTTTTTTGTTTCATACGATGCCCATGGGCAAACTATCACTTTGTCATGGTGACGTGACGTCATGAACAATGCTATGACATCACGTTTCTTCTGTGACGTTGCGTTCTACATCCGGCGACAGCGGGTACCCAGCTTTTGTTTGAAAGTAGATTTGGATTTATTTTCCTTAATTTGACGTCTTCGGTAATAAACAGTATATCATATTCGTGCCCATATTTTTTTATCATACTATGTTTACGACACTCGTGCCTAAATACCGGTGTATCCCTCGCTATCGCTCGGGAAATAACATTTAGGCACTCGTGTCGTAAACATAGTATGACATGGGCACTCATATAATATCATCTATGTATTATAATGGATATGTCGAACTTCGGTTATTTCCACATTGGATATAGGTATAAATCTGTTATAACGAACCATACTCTCATGTCAGATGGGTAGAAGATAATATTATCCATGAATAACGGACTCCTGTAATAATGAAGTCGGACAGTAGGACTGCCATTACATGTAATGTTGCGCGAGTGGGAAAAGCTGCTTTCCCAGACGTAGATCGTTGCTATCATATCTACGCTCTAACCAGGGAGACTGCAATCTAACCCAGGTGTTCGAGAAGCACGTTCACAAAGTTATTTATAACGTTCCCTTTCTCTGTCCTCCTCGGTTATGTATCCTTTTTTTATTTTTAGGACAAAAATCTGCTCTAACGAAGCGAACAACCTATCTTGCGGCGTCACTAACGAAGCTAACAACCTATCTTGCGGCGTCACTATGCACACAGTCCTTTGCATGTATCAGATTTATATGTCTGGCCAAAAAAATATTCAAACTCTTCTAAAGAACATAAAACATTTTGACACATTGCCGTTTAAAAACGTAAACTAGAAACCAACAAGTGGTATTGCTAGTATAGTCAGAATGTCACGACATACCGTATGTATACTTATAAAACAGGTTACACAACACCCGATCTGTGGGACTTCCTTACACCCGAGCTAGTGGGCGGAGGGGTAGTGTTCGCTCGTCACGCCGAAGACACGGGTTCGGTTCCGCACATGGATACAATGTGTGAAGCCCATTTGTCTGGTTTAGCAATATTCAAGCTATATGGCGGTCGGTAAATGATCGTGTCTGGACCAGACAATCCAGTGATCAACAACATGAGCATCAAACACCTGATAAGAGCAGGTCACCAACAACATCTACTTGTTGTTAGGAGAGACTAGATGGTTGAACGCTTGCAATAGTAACCACCGCGCGTAAATATGCCCTGGCCGATGTGTCACTGGTTTGTCTGATCCACTTGGCTATGTATTTCTTTTTGTGGAGGTTTTTCCGCGCATTTATTGGTTGATGGGTGAATGCATGACTTTGTACTTAGCGAGTGCTGATTCACTTATGGATGAGATAACTGCGTGTCAATGTACATTGTATCTATAGCGGGATAGTGGGTGTTTATAAAAGCATACACGGGTCAGTGAGTGCGTGTAAATATTTCGTAGTTTATTGGTCCCACGAGTGCGTATTTTGGTCATTGAGCGTGTAAATATTTGTACCAGTGGTAAGCCTGGTAAATATAACTTAAATTTGGACAGGAGTTGCGTTTATTTGTGTAAACATTTTACAACAGCTTCCTGGTCTACTGCTGCATGGAGCAAACAAAATGTCTCCGTTTTTTCTCATTCGCGAATATGTTGTCATCGGAATGACTCATGTGAGATTCAGGTGGTGTAGTTTTTTGTTACATTCAGTGTCGTTACCCTCTGTTACAGATTTTGTGAAACAAGATGACACAAATCCGACAAACTCAATCCGACAGGATGCTAATCACTGGCTGGAATAAGGGAGACAACTCGGGGTAACTATCGTACGATCGAGTCCGTACTTGTTAAGTGTTTATTAAAAATGAGAACTGTGATGTGTGGTTTGTTTGAGTTTTAAAATCGTGTAATTAGCAAATATTTCGACAGTTAGATAAATGCACGAACAGAGTTGACTCAAGTCACCTAACCTGAACCATCCAGTTTTTCTCCTTTATGACTCATCCTCTTGTGTCAGGAGTTTCACGAACATAAGACGCCAGCACATGAGTTAGCAAATAAAACATACCCCAGGTGTAAGGTCGCGGGGTTCACCAAAGTTGCAAGTCATCATTCACAGAGTTACGAGCCAATAATAAAAACCAAAAAATGTCATCGTAATCTAAATTTATTTCATTGAAAGGTTTGTGTAAACAGGAAGACACACGAAAATCATATTGTGCCCATCACAAGATCTACAGGCATATTCCTTAACTTGACCAAGACATAGTACAGGAGCGGATCCAGGTGTGAGTGTGTGTGTCCCCCACTCCGCCGAAATTTTTTTGTTTCCTGAGGAGCATTTCCCCCTAACCTTTGGACTTCATGACTTATATTGCAACCCCCCACCCCCCCACACTCCAAATCCTGCATCAGCCCCTGTAGTATTTGTTTAAGCCGTGAGAAGTTATCTAAAATGTGTCACTAAATCTTGGAATTAAACTATCAAGTTATTAAAGAAATAAATTCTGCTGTTGTTTTTCATACAATTCTTTTTTGTATTCCTGAGATTTTTTTCCAGCTGAAAAGTGCATCATTTTGGGCACAAAAACGAGTGAATTCAGTTTGAATGATTCAGGTTTTAAACCTAAGTCTTCAAAATCAGAAATATATTCATGAAAGTTTCTACACCTAAGACATTTCTGCACTACTTCCTATATAGAAGCATGTGAACTTGAGAGAAATAAACTACTCTCTAAAACTATGCACAGTACATTTATCTGTAATTCAGAATCAGTTTCATGCTGCGAAAAAAAGGTCTTATGTTGTTAAATTTACAGATTTAGTTTCCAAGGGGTATTATTTTTTGACGGAATGCATACATATCTTAAGGGGAAAAAAACCCATTATGACATGAAAGAAACTTTTCATAATTGAAATCCTGCAGTTTAAGCAGGAATAAAATACAACACTGAAACACATATTTGCAAACTCTAGTCGATCTGTAAAATATAAAGCAACAACCATCTGTCTAAGTAACACTGTGGATCAGTTAAAAAGGGAGTTGGATTTAAAAAGACCTCATACTCTAGTTCTAAAGCACAACATAAATATTGGTGTCACATGACTCACACACTGATGTCAAATGATTTGTATGCTGATGTCACATGATCACAGTGCAGGTGCAGACAAATGTTCCTACCCATATTCTTAACATAACTTGAGCAACATAAAACTTTAAAGGTCCTTGAATTTTTGGGCTAAGTTAAAAGCACATTTATGACAACATGACTTAAAGAAAACTGCTCAAATCTTAGACATCAAATATACGTTATACATATGATCAGGGGTGGAAATAACCCATTGCCCGACGTCTGAGTCCAGTGTTTTTTTCTGTCGGGCAAACACATTTGTATATCACGCTGTACCGGTGTCCGGTTGACATTCCAATGTTAATTATGTTGCTTATATAAAAAAAATCACCCACAAAAATCGGCCGGTATAGCGGAAAAATTATCAGGGCAAGTGATTTTACATGTGCCACTGTACTGGAGTACACTAGCAATTTTAAAGTTATTTCCACCCCTGATGATATACATCCTATACTTCAGCTTTCAGCAAAAACACGAAAATAATCTAATGCAAATTACTTTAATAATTACATCCACAGATACTATGTATACATCCAATTACCTTAGATGAAACAAAAATAATATGAATTTATCGTTTCCTTTGCTGTTATTTTCAATGACAATAGACTGATTTGTCCACCTCTGCAATGTTGGGACATGTACACTGACACATGATGTTACACTATTATCATATGACACATACAGTGTCGTCACATGACATACAGCATCGTCACATGACTGTACAATGGTCACATGACTGTACACAACAAAGTCACATTCAGGGAACACTAGCTCAAGGTACCTGAAAATAATCCCATACAGCAGTATAAGAAACTAATCTGCTTATATTTCCTTACTAACAGAAATTTGAGATACAGCAATCTGTGTGACAATGATAACAAATGTTCATGTGATACAGACATTGAAATTGTTAACAAAACACATATATTTCCAGATGTATTCTTAACAAAGGCAATGAAATTAGTAAGAATTCCTATTCATGCATATTTACAAAATAAGATGAAAGGATTATCAACAAAACACACATGTAAATGTATATGTTCACTCTAAGGCCAGGCTAATTGAAATTCTTAATGAATTTTTACTCAATACACAAAGCAAAATGCCACAAGTTTTTATGTACAAAAAAAGGGTGCATGATTTGAAGTTAATTTAATTTAAGGATATCAAGAAATAAATTTTTTGACCATAATACAACCAAAAACATTTTACCAAAATTATTTCATTTAATGGCACTTCTTCAATTACTCATTTCAGTAGTCTTTGACAAACAGATTTATTATAGTTTCTAAGCAGTTGTTAAAATCATCAGGATGTAATTCACACAGACAAAAACAGAAAATAAAATCAGTCTGGCCTAAAAAAATATTCAGAATAAAAACAATATATCCTTGCAGTAATAATATATAGCAAACTGTACATTATTAGCAATGAGCAAGCGACTACAGCTGAAGAAGCACCAGTGAATGTCCTGTTTCAGGTACACACAGTAAATATGTACATACAAGTCCCTCCATTACGGCAGGGAGGGATGGAGTCCCTGTCTCCAGTACTGGGAACCATCGTGAGAGAGGCACGTCCCCAAGCTGGACGACAGAGCAAAGTATGGGGAATCACAACACACAAGGGTTGAGGTGAGAACTATTTACTGTGAAATATCTCACATAAGCCATTTATCATCAATTAAACATTCGTTGTGGTGTGTTCGTGAATGTGGTTGAACTTGAGTGATCTATGAAACATAACATGACTTATGCAGGAATATAATGCAGTTAGCACCATCTTGCCTTAATAAATGTTTCAAGGTTGTAATGAAACCTTAAGAAAATAATGTCACATACTTAATTCAACATGTCCTATGTTAACGTCACAACAGTTTATGTTAACACTGCAGGTAAAGTGGAATCTGAAATAAGATCTGAACCTTGTCGAACATGATTTTTTTCAGTATAAAAATTATACCAGCCTTTTAAGAAAGGAAAATCACAACTTACTTTCATGAAAAGATTTTGAGTAATATTTCATCCAAATAATGACACAAAGTGATGTAACAAACATTAAAACCATGGTAAACGAATGGCAAATGTAGAAATACATTCAAACAAGCCAGCTCTTGCTGAAGTTGTAATGCAAATGGAACAACTAGGGGAGGTAACTCTTGGTTATATAGACAAACCAGCATGTGATGTCCCAAGTTTTGACAAGCACACAAGTAAGAAAATATTTCAGAGAAAAACTCTCAACTCCAGTAAACTGACACTAGATCACATCTTGAACATTGAAGACAACGTGTATCAAAATAGCTGATGTGTTCATGTGTAATGTAAACTACGACTTGCTAAAACATCAGTATCGGCATGTTGAACATATTTTGTACATCTTGATCCCTATAAAAACCTGATGCATTCCCACTACAAATCATTTAACAGGTCATTTCCAAAGAAAATCAAAATTACCCTGAGGATTTCTCATCCATGATCACGCATTTGGAAGAAACATGTGACAATACTAGGCCAATTGCTACTACAGGTGCTGTTATGGACTGGGACAGATTGTTTTGATGAAGCTCAGATGATTGAAACAAATGCCAAAGGATTTACATGAGTATTGCTGAGTGAGATTTCATTCCTCCTTGACAGTTCAGTTAGGACTTTAAGTGAGGAACACCTGTTTATCTTCATGACTCTGGCGACATTGAAACTCTCTTACATGTGGCCAGTAGTGGCCTGACTGAAGCCCTAGATCTCATCTCTCTTCTGGCAGACAGTCTTCAAGACAAGATCTAGTCAGTCCATGAATGGCTTGACTCAAGCACTAGATCTAGTCTCTCTTCTAGCAGACAGTCTTCAAGACCAGATCTAGTCAGTCCATGAATGGCTTGACTCAAGCACTAGATCTAGTCTGTAAATGCATGGCCTGATTCAAAGATCAGATCTGGTCTCTCTTCAGGCGACCAGAATTCAAGACTAGATCTAGTCAGTCTGTGTGTGTGGCTTGTTCTAAGGACTAGATCTCACTACCGGAGGCCAGTTTTCTACATCAGGTCTGTCTGTACAGTATGTAAATGAGATGACAAGGAAACCAGTGACGTTAAAGTACATCAATCATAAACACAATGACAATTAGGTGCAGTGAAACACCTGCTGTGACTTTAATTAATCAGGTGATGTAATTCTTTACATAATTACCAAATATTTAAATATTTGTTGCAAGTACTCATCTAACTTCCTTCAGACACTTTTCAGAAAATACACATAATACTACCCATATTATTTTGGAATCCATGTAGTCGAAACCATCACATATATTTCTAAACCGTAGAAAAGTTTTGTGACTAATAGAGCTGTGAGTGATGTCGTGAGTTCAGTCGCGTGATTCAACCATCCATCATCTTGGCCTCCTCGGGTGGGACCTCCCGTTGGCCTGGTTCGCTTCCAGTGGCCTGACTGAAGCCCTAGATCTCATCTCTCTTCTGGCAGACAGTCTTCAAGACAAGATCTAGTCAGTCCATGAATGGCTTGACTCAAGCACTAGATCTAGCCTCTCTACAGCAGACAGTCTTCAAGACCAGATCTAGTCAGTCCATGATTGCCTTGTGTCAAGCACTAGATCTAGTCTGTAAATGCATGGCCTGATTCAAAGATCAGATCTGGTCTCTCTTCAGGCGACCAGAATTCAAGACTAGATCTAGTCACAGTCTGTGTGTGTGGCTTGTTCTAAGGACTAGATCTCACTACTGGAGGCCAGTTTTCTACATCAGGTCTGTCTGTACAGTATGTAAATGAGATGACAAGGAAACCAGTGACGTTAAAGTACATCAATCATAAACACAATGACAATTAGGTGCAGTGAAACACCTGCTGTGACTTTAATTAATCAGGTGATGTAATTCTTTACATAATTACCAAATATTTAAATATTTGTTGCAAGTACTCATCTAACTTCCTTCAGACACTTTTCAGAAAATACACATAATACTACCCATATTATTTTGGAATCCATGTAGTCGAAACCATCACATATATTTCTAAACCGTAGAAAAGTTTTGTGACTAATAGAGCTGTGAGTGATGTCGTGAGTTCAGTCGCGTGATTCAACCATCCATCATCTTGGCCTCCTCGGGTGGGACCTCCCCGTTGGCCTGGTTCGCCCAGTCATCTGCATCCTTCATCTCAACGTTGTCGTCCAGCGGTGCATGACGGTCCTCAGACAACTCATGGCGGGACAGATGAGCGATGACTCCAGCACCAAAACTGTCACCCAATACGTTCACAGATGTCCTGATTCTGTCCCTGTAAACCCATAAGTGAGTGAGTGAGTTTAGTGTAACACCACTTTTCAGCAATATTCCAGCAATATCACAGCAGTGGACTCCAGAAATGGGCTTCAAACATTGTACTCAGGTTTTTGAATTCAGGTTTTTGACATGACCAGCCAACACTTTAACCACTCGGCTACCCCCTCGCCCATCATATAAGAGACTAAGATTGAGTGCACGATAATCAACATAAGATGCTCAAATTCTTAAAACCTTAGAAGCATGGACACAAAGACAGAATGCATTTCTATAACACACAGTTTCATAAACAACACATAGTTTTCCCATTGATAATTAGAATCAACTCTCTAACCAATAATCATACTTACAAGAACCAATCAACAGCCAGAATAAGACTGACATCATCAGCAGGAAGTCCAACAGATGTCAGGACCATAACCATGGTAACCAGACCAGCACTAGGGATGGCGGCAGCGCCAATGCTGGCACATGTTGCTGTCAGACTGAAACAAATATGTCTCAGTCAGATACAAAAATGTGAATTACCAGGTTAATGAATAGAGATGCAAAGTTTATCTCTGTGTTTGACTTAAACAGGAAAATTCCCATCTAAGATTCTCATCTATCTAAGCAGAATGCATAATAGAATTGCAAGCGTTGTTGTTTATTTCCTGCTGGTACAATAAAACATTTTGACTGAGTTGTTGTTTTGGTTTTTCCTATTGAGTTGTTGTTTTGATTTTAAGGAATCTGCGAGAACAGGCTTTCATTGAGTTTGATGCTAAATATTCTTATTTTTTTGTTGTTGTTATAATACCTCACTCGCATATGGCATTGTATGAAAGTGTGTTCTAAAGATATTTTATAAACTAACATTAGGCCAGACCAATTTTATTTATTGTTTTAAAGATTTTTGTCCTCAGAAAACCTAAAGCAGGAGGGAAAATAAATAAATAATAAAATTATATAAATACTAAAAGTATTTCACATTGGGCAATTTATAAAGTGTATATGGGGCAAAACACAATCTAAAAAAAACCCACCTTTTCTGGTAAATTTACATTTTTGACCAATAAAACATTAGGATTTTATTTTTTGAGAGGGCAAAATTAACTTTTATTTTATTTCTTATTTTTGAAAAATTACGACCGGCGGATCTGTAAAACAAGAAATAAAATTGGTCTGGCCTTAAGAGGACACCTTTATATGAAAAGCAAGCCTCGCGCTTTTACTAGTGTGCATTACAACAACCATTAAGAAGCAAACAACACCTCAAGGTTGGGTTTGGGTTGGGTTGAGTTGGGTTGGGTTTTACACCACTTTTAGCAATATTCTAGCAATATCACGACGGGGTGCACAAGAAATGGGCTTCACACATTGCACCCATGTGCGGAATCGAACCCAGGTCTTTGGCGTGACAAGCGAACACTTTAACCACTAGGCTACCCTACTGCCCCCATCACAGTTGGATAAAGGAACGGTTAATTTCCTTACCTGATTGTGAGGATCTTGCCGAAGTTGAGGTCAATGCCATTCATCTGTGCGATGAAGATTGGTGCGACAGCTTCGTACAGTGCTGTGCCGTCCATGTTGATGGTGGAGCCGATGGGCAGGACAAACCTTGTCACACGACGGTCAATGTTCAAGTTTTCTTCCAGACATCGGAATGTCACTGGCAGTGTTGCAGAGCTATGGAGGAGATGAAATGAAAAGATGAGTTTATACTGAAGATGGATGTCATTCGTCAATGCTATCAAAAAGAAGAGACTGAATATGTCATTTTCTCAGGTGACTAGACCACTGAATGTGAACCTCAGGTTCAGAAGCTCACCTTAAACTGGCTACAGTTTTTTAAGAATTGGTTGGCAGAAAATATTGTCAACAGGTTGGAAAAAAAAGATGTATGATGTCACACTGTTCAGTATGATGCAAAATATATGGTGTCATTGTCAAAACTTGAAAAGCAAAAATTTCAAGCACAACGCTGTCCATAACAACTTTCTTCGTCATTGATTTATTAAAAAAATGTTTTGTCATGCTTTTAATATTCTAGTACATAGTTTGAAACTTGAGAATTTGTGCATTTTGTCAGAGAAGATGAATTTCATTTTCTGTTAAAATGCCCTTTTTATTATGATTTGTGACAGAAATATTTTCCATACAGGTATTTTAAAACAGAAGACACGCTTACGTCTTCACTCAATTCTGACGATTCTGAGACCGTAATAAAGAATTCAAAATATGTCAAAGAAGCTTTATCCATGTGTTCCTTATTTGGAAATTTTAACTATTAATTATATATTTATATACTTATCCTATCTCACGGTATGCACCTATCTTCTTCTTCTACGACCATGTGTGGCTTCTCTGACATATTTTGAATTCTTTATTACGGTCTCAGAAAATTATTATTATTATATCCTCAATCTTTGCAGCTGTTTAACCTCCGACACCACGTTGTATGCATTTATTGTTTGTTATGAAATGTACTTGGGATTGTGGCCTTGATACCGAATAAATGTCTTCTACATTTCATTAATTCATCACTTAATGACCGATAATTGTTCATATATTTACTTCAAAATGCCTTCTGACAATCACTCAGGAAAAATATTTTCCTTCAGACATTTTCAGTAATGATGTCCCTGGCTGTTTCATAGAGTCCTCTTCATCATAATGGAACAAAAATCTCACAATGCTTATCAGGCCTGTTTATATTCATGACTAACATCTGATAGCCTCCACGTTAACATATTCATGTACCATTCATATTTTTCATTAATATTGATAATTAGGTTTTGAATACAATATCCTATTTTATCATGAATAATATCATATAATCATTCAACTCTGATCATGAGTATGTCTGATACCGGGGTATTAACTATCATCAATCAGAAAGTGAATTCAAAGGGTATGAAGTTCCTGATATGTTAGTGTTAAATGCTCATGGGATGGTTAGTGGGCATGAGTGAGTTTAGTTTTTCGTCGCTTTTAGCAATATTCCAGCAATATCACAGCAAGTAACACTGGAAATAGGCTTCACACATTGTACCCATGTAGGGAATCGAACTCAGGTCTTCAGCGTGACAAGCGAACGCTTTAACCACTAGACTACCCCAACTTCTCAATGAATGTATGTAGACATGCTTAATGTACAGGTTGTTGCAAAAAATATAATTTGGTATTCACTATTCAAATATGACAATCTGTATTATCAATCTCATGATCATAATTTTAGTTGTTTTTAATTACTAATGTAATGTGACAAATTCCTGAACAGTGACTTTTTTTGGTCATATATACATGTGTTGTTTGTGACACCTATCTTGCAGTTTAAAATACTTTATGCACAACGTTTTATTGTCGATGAAATACAAAATGGTTTTATACATTTTAATGATTATCAATGTATCAGGGTCCTCAAAACCAAACCAAAACCAACAGGTGTCATCTGTTAAACTCTTTAAAAAATAGGGGTGGTAGTGTAGCCTAGTGGTTAAAGTGTTCGCTCATCATGCCGAAGACTTGGGTTTGATTCCCCACATGGGTACAATGTGTGAAGCCCATTTCTGGTGTCCTCCGCCGTGATATTGCTGGGGTATTGTTACAAGTGGTGTAAAATTAAACTAAACTCACTCAATCACTCAAAAATATATATGAATACGTGACAACCTTTACCTTCACCATTAGACTTGTGCCAATACTATTGCAGTGTATTTAATTGCCAGGGAATAGTGTAAGGCATTAATGGAGTATGTAGTGTGATAATTTCTGTATTGTTGATGAAAACGAAATGGTTAAGAAGACGATTAATAGCAGTGTCTTCACTTCACAACTTGTAGCGTGGTGTAGAATATTTAGCCATGACCAGCATTGAGTATCTTTATCCACTTGGTTGTAAATGATATTTGATCTTTTGAGCTCAACAAATAATCTCTCCGATACCAGTACTAAATTTAACTGAAAATGAAATTTCGGGCAAGTAGCTCAAATGTTTGGCAAAGATGGCACCGGGGACATGTTCTGAACCAGGAAAGTCTGGTGCCTTACCTTGACGCTGTACCTAAAGCTGTGACCCAAGCCTGGAGGATGCCGATGAACAACTTCAGAGGATTCTTCCTGCAAATGACGAAGTAGATGGCAGGGAGGACGATGACAGCGTGGATGATAAGGCCGGACAACACCGTCAGCATGTACATGCCCAACTGTTCACCCACCTTAGCAGGGTCTTCCAGAGACAGGATCTTCCCGATGATTAGGAAGAATATACCAATAGGGGAGTACCTGGAACAGGAGGAGACTGAAATATACCAACAGGAGGAGACACTGAAATGGAACAGGAGGAGACTGAAATATACCAACAGGAGGAGACACTGGAATATACCAACAGGGGAGACACTACCTGAAGGAACAGGAATATATACCAACAGAGGAGACACTGAAATATACCAACAGGAGGAGACCTGAAATATACCAACAGGAGGAGACACTGAAATATACCAACAGGGGGAGACTGAACTATACCTGGAACAGGAGGAGACTGAAATATATCAACAGGAGGAGACTGAAATATACCAACAGGAGGAGACACTGAAATATACCAACAGGAGGAGACTGAAATATACCAACAGGAGGAGACACAGAAATATACCAACAGTGAACACTGATATACCAAAGAAGGAGAGAGACACTGAAATATACCAACAGGAGGAGACACTGAAATATACCAACAGGAGGAGACACTGAACTATACCAACAGGAGGAGACTGAACTATACCAACAGGAGGAGACTGAACTATACCAACAGGAGGAGACACTGAAATATACCAACAGGAGGAGACTGAACTATACCAACAGGAGTAGAGTGAACTATACCAAAAGGAGGAGACACAGAAATATACCAACAGAACTATACCAACAGGAGGAGACACTGGAGACACTGAAATATACCAACAGGAGGAGACACTGAACTATACCAACAGGAGGAGACTGAACTATACCAACAGGAGGAGACACTGAACTATACCAACAGGAGGAGACTGAACTATACCAACAGGAGGAGACAGAACTATACCAACAGGAGGAGACTGAACTATACCAACAGGAGTAGAGTGAACTATACCAAAAGGAGGAGACACTGAAATATACCAACAGGAGGAGACACTGAAATATACCAACAGGAGGAGACACTGAACTATACCAACAGGAGGAGACTGAACTATACCAACAGGAGGAGACACTGAAATATAGCAACAGGAGGAGACACTGAAATATACCAACAGGAAGAGACTGAAATATACCAACAGGAGGACACTGAAATATACCAACAGGAAGAGACTGAAATATACCAACAGAAGGAGACACTGGAATAAACCAACAGGAGGAGACACTGGAATATACCAACAGGAAGACACCCTGTAATACATCCTCAGACATGCTTTTTGGGTTCTAAGTAACTAACAGATCACAATATTAATACAGATGGTGTCCTGATTGAATCTAGGGCAGGTAGGGATGATGAGAAGGAAGAGAAAGATGAATATTTCATAATAACAATGACCTCTTACAGATCTAGAAATCAATCTGTAACCCAAGAAGAAACTCAAGTACCCACCACATGACCATTCCTACTATCCTCATGATGATCTCATTCAGGATGAAGAAGAAGTCCACCATCAGTTTTGCCTTCTCTGCCATGTTGCTCATAATGATGCCGAACGCTGTACAGAACATGATTAAACCTGAAACACAAGCAATGAGTAAATTGTTGCAGTCTGTTCTCAGCTATACTCCTTCAATGACCTGGTCAGGAGGCCCCCCAGGCCTTATACCCCCTTTGACCATGTGCCCCGTGTAAGTGTTAGGATGTAGGACTTGTAGCCCTAAAGCAGCCTTAAATTGGCACTTACAAACTGGAAACATTATTTTTGTTATAGATGATAATGTCTTTCAAGTATTAAATAATGCTCAGGGACACACAGGATGGATGAAATGTTTTCAGCATGAGCCCTCGTGAAGATCCGGGTTAAAATTGATCTTCAGTAACCCATGCTTGTCGTAAGAGGTGACTAACGGGATTGGGTGGTCAGACTCGCTGTCTTGGTTGACATGTCATCGTATCCCAATTGCGTAGATCGATGCTCATACTGTTGATCACTGGATTATCTGGTCCAGACTCGATTATTTATAGACCCCAGCCATAAAGCTGGAATATTGCTGAGTACGACGTAAAACTAAACTCACTCACTCACTCACTCTGAGCATGAGTATGATGGACTGCTTTGTATGACACTTCAGTGAGTCTTGAAGACAGCTAGAAATTAATGGAGTTTACAGAGCCAATTTCACTTTAGGGACTTTAAGCCACAGTAATGCATTGCAGCCATACCACGTTTAATTTAAGGAGAGATTGACATCCAATGATCAAGGGAAAAACAAAGCGCCTTTGAGCAGCTGAACTGGATATTGGTGCTATACAAATGTTAGCATAATAATAATAAAGACTGATATGCTTTGCTCATATGACTTGATGTAATTAAATCTAAAATCAACTGTATCAGTGAGTGAGTGAGTGAGAGTTAGTTTAGTTTTATGCCGCTTTTAGCAATATTCCAGCAACATCATGGTTGTGAGACCAGAAATGCACTTCACACATTGTACTCATGTCTGGAATCCAACCCGGGTCTTTGGTGTGACAATAGACCAGCTTATTGTACACTGGAGATGAAATAATAAATCCTTCTTGAGCAGTTGATTTAAAATGGTAAAACTAAATTCTCAAATTTTAATGCTTTTTCACAGCAGAAAAAAATTCAAAGATTCAGATATCTTTATGATATTTGTGATGTACAACTGACAATTAACAACACATGGTGTTCAATGACAGAAGACAAATTCACCTTTAGTTAGGAGAGCTGACATCACCTACCTAAAACATTTATTCCATTAGAGTAAGGAAATGTCCGAGTCCATTTTTCTTCCTTCAACAGGACGTATGTGGTGTTGGCTCCTGTGGAGTTGTCTGTCACTGTCGTCATGACCGTTGTCGTGGTGATGGTTTCGTTAAACAGGGCGGTCAGATTAGCATCAACCTCCTCCTCCTCTTTCGCTTTGACATACACTGTTCTTGTGTGCTGGAACCCAGCCTGGAGAATATTGTCTGGGAATATATTCCTGAAACACAGAACAACAATGTTGCAGCAACAGCTACGGCATTTCATCTCATACTTAAACATTTGTTTCAAGATTTTCATTACTTCATGTACATCATATTTATCAAAATATCAACATACGGCTGAAAACTCAGAAAATGAACTTATTAACAGACATGGATGACTTTTCTTAAACAACATGAAAGTATCAGGTTGCTATGATGAGAGTAATTAAATTTTTTAATGTTGGTCAAATTATGAATATAATCTCTTGGTGAAATATATTTTTGAGAGGATAAATGCAATCAACACAAAGAACAGTTTTTTATCTGTGTTTATTAATGAAGCCAACTAAACAAACATAACTCCTATAGACAGACAAATTTGTTCAAACTACCTTAGCCTGTTTTGTTTATATATTTCATATATTTGCTGAGATTTTAAAAAAGTCACTGACATTAACAAAGAGACATTATGTCAATAAAAAAGGATACATGTATTTTAAAATACTATACACTTAGTACTTTTTTATATTCCAAGATTATCAGATGAAATAAACTGTATTTAAATTTATTTAATATATCAATATTTGATGTAAGTGAAACATTGATTGGTAAACAATCAAGATAGTTCATGTCTACAATTTTAGTAAAACAATTTTACATAGTAATATAACTAAACGCAGATGCACGAAAATGAATCCACAGTTAATCCACATTTAATCTTGTATCTGAGAAACAACAACATGTACTGCTGTTGTAAAATATTTCAAAAAGTTGTTTTTCCCCACATATCATTTGAGTTAATTCTGCTGTGGACAAGTTTAAAATTGTAGACTGATTTAATTTCCAGGTTGGTAGAATTTCTCAAGGACGCATTTATCAAGGACGCAATTCCATATAATTTTTTTTTATGATTATAACCACATAAATTTCATACTATTTCTCATATTCATATAGATTTTGTTTGTAATAGGATATACATTGCATTTTATCTTGCCTCACACATAAATGTCATTTTCTGATTGGCTGAGCGCTCTTCTATTATTTTCAGTGTACCCCGCCTACAAGCGAGTAACATTTTCTATGTACCCCGCTGGGAATGCCCAACTCATTTGGTACTTCAGGCTCTGGGAACATAAACAAACATCGAGGGTACATCAGCCCATGTCCCCCTTGAGACCAGTACTTCATGTACATCATAATTTCCGTACATCAATTTCTGGTGTTCCCCGCCGTGATGTTGCTGGAATATTGCTAAAAGCGGCGTAAAACCAAACTCAGTCAGTCCGTACATCATAGGTGATTCAATGTTATTCGAGATAAAGAATTACTACTACGAATACCAAATGAGTTCGGCATTCCCAGCGGGGTACATAGAAAATGTTACTCGCTTGTAAGCGGGGTACATTGAAAATAATAGAAGAGCGCTCAGCCAATCAGAAAACGACATTTATATGTGAGGCAAGATAAAATGCTATGTATATAATATAAAAAACAGTGACTTGCTGTCTGACTGGTCATATACATGCCAGTTACATGTATTGTTGTTTAATTCATTGTATCTGAGCCTTAGATAAATCGTACTTGCCAATATGAGATAATATGCCAAATCATAATTCATACATGAATTCCAAGTCCATCGAAACATCTGTGCTAAGTACAAATGGGATTTGTTGAAAGCTAAATGCTTAGAACCTCTAATCATATATATTTGTGTAAATAAAAAAAATTAATTTGCCTCCTACTCCACACTTTATGAAAAAGATTACTTAAAATGTAGTTTTGAATGTATTGTGACCGAAGCAAAAACACATTATTGTCAGAGTACCAAAAGAATTCACCAGTCCCTCCTCGACCAGAAATTGAGTGGTTCAACCACATCGGAATTCACACTGCAATAAATGGCTTCCACGGTGGCTGAGTGGGTTAGATGGCTTAGCCATTAGGTGCCTGACTCTGAGAGTGGTTTCAAAACCTCAGATCCGACACAACCTAAGAAAAAGTACTAGAATCTGTACTTTACTGTGAAAGTGTAATCCCAAATATAACATATGTGACACATCTTAGCAGTATTTGATTTACAATTACATCTTAGCAGTATTTGAGCTACATCTTAGCTGTATTGGAGCTACATCTTAGCAGTACTGGAGCTACATCTTAGCAGTATTGGAGCTACATCTTAGCTGTATTGGAGCTACATCTTAGCAGTATTTGAGCTACATCTTAGCAGTATTGGAGCTACATCTTAGCAGTATTTGAGCTACATCTTAGCAGTATATTCTGAGCTACATCTTAGCTGTATTGTACATCTTAGCAGCTTTGAGCTACATCTTAGCAGTATTTGAGCTACATCATGGTGTGTCAGCTCGATGATGGCGCTGTATTCGATGATGGAGGAAAAACCTTAGTGATGCAGGTATTAGATATTTATTTTTAGATAATGGGCAAATCTGACATCTGAAACCTTCTTTAAAGGTTTCTGATACAACAAAGGGACACAACTCTGTACAGTAAATTGCTGTATTTCATGAGGCTGACCCCGTGATCTCTCTAGGGATTATCAACTGTTGCCTAAATAATACTTGAAATGTGGCACTAATATTGAGATAGGTAAACAAAGTTTAAGTTATTGGGATCTTGTGAATAGTTTAATGGTCAACAGACACAGGTAAATGACAGACACAGGTAAATGACGGACACAGGTAAATGACTGACACAGGTAAATGGGACACGCCACCTAATATACTTACTTATTCATGTGTTTTGCATTCAGTGTTTAATCTATTTCCCTCTTTTGACAAGATATATTAGTAATGACTATAGTTTTTTTAATCATTTTGGTCTTATATGACTCAGTCACAGTACTGATTGACCCATGTGACCTTGTACATGTTGTAACCAATGACAACCAGCTCAGGTCAAACTGACACTGAGTATGTTGTTTCACATCATAGACAAGCACTCATAAAACCTTCGAGGCATGATAAACAAGGAAACTGTTAAAGCATTGCTAAAGTACAATCCTACTGACATAGCTGGATGAGAACTGGAAATTGGCTGATGTTAAAGCACTGGATCAATGCTTGTCTGTGAAGGACGCTTTGTTGAACAGGACTCTGGGCTTGCTAGGACTGATAAAGCACACCTGGTAATGATTATTCAATTGTCAGTTACAAGCTTCATGTACCACAGTAATGACTCCAGCAGTCTATTCAGAGATATTTACAACACGTTGTATACGATTAGTCCATGTCTCCATGCTCACAGCTTCACAGGGGTGGAAATAACTTTAAAATTGCTAGTGTACTCCGGTACAGTTGCACATTAAAATCACTTGCCCTGATAATTTTTCCACTATACTGGCCACTTTTCTTGTTGGTTTTTAAATAAACAACATAATTAACATTGGAAAGTCAACTGGACACGGTATAGCGTGATATACAAATTTGCTTGCCCGACAGAAAAAAACACTGGACTGGGGTGTCGGGCAATGGGTTATTTCCACCCCTGCTTCAGATCAATGAGTTGCAGATCGGTTCAAAATAGACTAACGCTTAGTCCCTGAATATATATAATTTTGATAGTAACAAATAAAAACATTTGAATTGAAAAGGAGTCCCAGGGAGGCCAAAGATTCAGAACCAGTAGATTGCTAGACTTGCTTCATTTAGGGCTTTAGCATTGCAGGGAGGGCTAGGCAGTAGGGAAAATAATGTGGTTCAGGGGCTGTGAGAAGACTAGGTTCAAAATGGAATAGTTTCTTATCAGAATCATTTTTGTAAATATATTCAGTCAATTCTAGGCTAAAACCACATTTTCATAATGTTTAGATTTAGGCGTTTCCTAATATGTAATGAGTTTTCCTAATATTTAATGAGTGCCCTAGACAATGAAAATTATACATGGGGAGTGTCTCTTATGTATTGTATTTCGATGCTGTATCTAAAGTTACCTCAGTAATTGATAAAAAGGGTTTAAATGATAGATCTCCATAATTCTAAATAATTAATATGTTTGTCAATACCCTTGGGTGAAATTAAACTTCACCTCCTACAAACATGAAGATGTAAGTACATTAATGTCAAATTGTGGAAAAATATCTGCATCAACCATGATACAAAGTTTTGAATGTTTTATAAAACAAATAATGCCTTAGAGTGATGTTTTTATGGTTATGAAAAATATTCCTTCAACAGAGAAGTTATGCAAGCTGAACTTGGTTACTTTAAAGAAATCTACAAATGAAAATTATTCTCCCACAACACTAAAATACAGATTGATTTAACTAAAGGGAAGCAACTCTTCCCAACTTGCCATGGTGTAAACATTCTTATTGGCCAATGCTGCGTCTGTACCACTTCTGGTTGATTACAGTCATATGTGTGTAAATGAAAACAGCACCTAGCCAAGGCTGCTTGTAGTTTGTGAATTCATGTTGGTGTTTCTCATATGGGTCGGTACAATGTTGACGAAGTGCTTTTGCCTAAAGGTCACAAAACAGAATAGCTTTCTCTCTCTCCAATACAGGTTACTGGTATCGTTGGTGATTTGGCATAGAATGTCATTGCTTTGCTGTGTCTGAATTACGGTTTCAAGTCATTTTGCTCCTGGTAGTTACAGAAGCTTTTTTTTGAGTAATTACACAATGTCAGTCGTTTTCAAAAAGGTCCTATTGTCTTCATCAATCCAACAACATTTGGCCCCATAAATCCAATATTTTTTACTGATCTTGGCAATTCTTTTTAATGATTTTCTCTACTCCATCCATTCAATCTGATTAATAAAAACCTTGAAGTGAAAGAAATGGCCTGGCTTTCCAAACAATATAAAATTTCAGCCAAACATTTTTTTATATTTCACCAATTTTTTGTTTTTCTCAATTTGCATTATTCTTACATGTTTGTTTTATCTGCAAGAACATAAGTTTAGCTGGTCTCTAGGAATGTATTAACTTTTCATACTGTTGGTTTGTAACTTCTGCCTACATCTACTATTAATCTGAAAGGTTTCATGATTTGAT